ACCCTTATTTAAAAACTAAAAAATAACTTTAGATTTAGAACAATGTTAAGAACTATATCCATAGTCATTTATAAATAGTAATATTGTATATCATTCCTGCATATCCATAATTATTTAATAATACATCAATAAACTGAACCCCTTCTCACACACACAGTGATAACTGTTTGCCGTTTTCTAACCTATTTACTTAGTTCTTGTGTTAAAAGGTGCATGATTGTTCAAAAAGTAGCTTAACTTACACGACAGATTCTTTTGATATCTTGTTTGAAACAATATAAGCTTAATCTTTGATGTACTTTTTATACTAGCTCAGTTCAAACAGATCTCAGATGTATCCATCAAATGTGAATCTGATGTGAAACATCAGCTAATAAATCCGGTTTATTATTAAGTTTCCAACTATATCTGTATGTAATGTAATTTATTGCTTTGTTGTTTTTAATATTTACGTGTTTGCTTTTTTCTATCCACTTTTTCCTTTTTTGATATGAACTAAGAATAGCATTCAAAAGCGAGGTAATATGGGAACTAGGAACTAATAGCATGCTTAATGTAGTTTGAAGTCAGGTTAATGTTTATATTTAATGTGAAACTCGAATGGTTGCTTTAACTGTAGGTTAACCTCTGACCCTGGTTTAAAGATTGAAGAAAATCATCTTGGTGCAGCTGAAGATGTAGCCAAGCACAAGAAGAAAACCAAAAAGAATGTTTATCCCATAACATATGTATCTTCCAAGCAAAACCTTGAAAATCAATGCACTCAACAATGAATGTTTTTGTCACTTTTGTGGGTCCTTTCAAATGCATCTGAAATAGCCTGGCCCAATCTTCAAAGGTTCCAGATATGTGGACTATGACTCTCACCATCTCTGGTCAGTATGACCAATAGTTGTACTGACAGGGCATGATAAAAATTCGAGTCCAATTCGTCTAGAGAGTTCCTGATTGGGCAAAACGGGTTGCAGAATAAATGATGATAAATTATTTTGTTCAGTGCTTTTTAATAATATCGGCTGAACATAATACCTGAACAGTTAAGTTTGTACTTCAGTTGTAAGTCTCATGTAATACATTTTGAAAACTGCAAATCTATAACAAAAAAATAAGTATGCCTCTTACCAGCAGTATATTCATACTAGCATATCATCCACTCTTTTTATCTGAATCCCAAGTGAATATGGAAGACTAGATATAAATAAATGGATGTAATATATGGTAATGAGACTGTAACCTAGCACTATTTTTGCTCTACTTGTCTGTATGTATTTAAATAAAATTTTCAAATGGTTTTATTCACTTGTAATAAATATTACATAAATATTACATAAAATGTCAGAGTTTTATGCATTACATTTTTCTGATTGCTTCTTCCTTAGCAAAATTGTAGTTTTCTATTAAAAAGAGAATTCATATACCTAGATGTCAAATTGACTATTTGAATTATACCTAGATGTCATATAACTATTTGAATTGTATAATTATTTAAAGAAATGATTCATTTTGAATGAAAGTTGGTTGATGCTGTAAAATCAGAGTGGAGCTCCTACCTTGCCTTATGCAGGTAAGATGCAAGGGCTGAGCCTGGCAGGGCAGGAAACAACATATAAATAAAACATAGATGTCCCTTGAGGGCATCAAAAGGCTAGCTAACCATCTATTAACTTGGAAGGATAGAGAAGGGGGAAAGCCTAGAGATTTTAACTTCGTTGCCTCAGAAAAACCTTATGCCAAGTGATGAATAAGGAATTGGATGTCTGTGGAGCTGAGGAAGGAGCTGTGGTTTCTTTCTAATTATTTGTATGGTTTTTGTATACATTGTTTATACCAAATTGAGATAGCCAATCAAGGTGGAGAAGACATACCTGTGAGCATATCTACAAGGCAAAGGTACTCCACAATGAAGGTAGAGTATATATTCATGTAATGGAAACAACGTCACAGCCTAGTCACTTCACCATCTGGACTTTTTGATATTCCCATTCAATTTTTACACTTGATTTTTGCACCTTCAAACTTATTGATCACTAGGACCAAGAGATTTAGCTATCAAGGTAGACTCGGCCTTCCATTCTTCCGAGGTAGGTAAAATGAGGGCCCAAATTGTTGGGGGCAATATGCTGACTCTAAACCACTTAGAGAGGGCTGTAAAGCACTGTAAAGCGGTATATGGACCTAAGTGCTATTGCTATTTAGTAAAGACCTGCTGTGGGTTTATATCTTTTCCTTCCTTAAAACAGTTATCTCTGAAGTGAGGTACACACACGTCTGTAAAAGGTTTGCAAGCAATCCATTGGAGTATGGGAAGAAAGTAGAGATAGCATTTGGTTAACAAGCACTTGTTCAGAGACCATTCAAAATTACGCTGGTGCTTAACAATCATATTTATGAACCTCTGAAGTTCCAGCAGCCTTCTGGTCACATGATCACAATTTAGACACTTCGCAACTGGCTTGCATTTAAGACAGTTGCAGCATCCACACCACATTATCAGCATCTGCAACCTTCCCTGTGAGCATTCCATAAGCTGAGTCAATGCAGAAGCAGCAGGCAAGCTCTCAAGTTACTCTGGTAAGTCACTCCAGCAGCTTTTCTGCCCGAGGTGTCTGGCTATGGCATGCCTAGCACTCCCTCTCATGGCACCCCCTTGCATGTCATACCCTACCTAGCAGCAGCCACCCTGGATGCACTGGGCTTGTGCCATGCCCTGACTGCCACTTAATATCCAGCAGCAGCCTGTTCTGACCTGGCTCCCCAATAGGACAAGCCCTCTAGTTCAGTGGTCAGGGAACAGGGGTAAATTACCCCAAATGGGGTAAAAGTGAAAATCTGGGGGTAATGAGGAGGTTGCGCTGGCCAATGGCGGAACTATCGGCATAGCAGCAGTTATTAAAACACCCTTGAGGCAAATTTATCCCCTCCACCCCACCCTTGTTTCCTGGGTCGGAAATGACTCCAGGCTAGATTCTGCAAGAGCCGCGCCGCCCGTTTTTTAGGGGAAGGCGAGCTTCTGGCATAGGGCAGAGCATTTTGGGAAAAGGGACGCTTTCCCCCGCGCTGCGATGACCGCACGCTTTTCGCGCGCAGTTTGTGTCACCGTGGCTCCCAAATATCATCCTCCCTTCCCGCTTCCTCGCCCCCAGGCCCTGCCTGCCTGCCAACTAGCCAGCCAGCCCGGCTCCCTCCCCGAAGGCTCTCATCACTGCCAGGCACACAGGAAGCGAAGAGGCACCTGCAACTGCCGCCTTGGCCCCGAGAAAATTCCCAGAAGCCCTCAGGAAGCCTGGTGACATTTCATTCCCTGGAGCGAGCTATCCCGCCTTCTTCCCAGCCGCGGGGGGGGGGAGGGCACCTCCTCCCGCCTCGACCTCCAAATTATGTGTCAGCAGCCTGAGGTGGCCGGGGAGGGGGAGAGGCCGGGAGGGGTAACGTCTGCGTTTATAAATTTTTTGGGGGGTAAGAGGTAAAAAAGTTCCCTGACCCCTGCTCTAGTTAAATCAATGGTTCATTTATAAGGAGTTCCAGCAGCCCTGACAAAAAGTGTCACAGCAGTCTAACAGCAGGGAGATGAATAGTTGTCTGCCACCCCTATTCATCTCCGCCCCTGCCTTTTATCACCAGAGCTAGGGTGGAGCTTCACTAGCAGCGGTGGTTCTGTCCCAAGGATTGGGCCATAGATTTCCACTGCTCTCCTCTGCCTTCTGTGCATCCATACATCAGGGACTGGACCCAGCAGTTTGTCCTTTTTCTCATCAGCCACTTCCAGACCTGGGGGTTGTTGACTCTCCATCTGAGGGCTGATGAGGGCTCAGGCTCTGCCTCTGTATCTCTGACATCTCCATTCCCTCTTCTTGGGAGCTCTCAAGTTGCCTTGATGCTGGCCCTGACCCCCACGCCACTGCCTCATTTGATTTGGCTGCTGGAAGAGCTGGCGGCCAACAGGCCACAATACAGCCATGCTGCATTTGTGACATGCTCCTACAGTCCCTCATGTATTCAGCAATTGTTAGCCATGTGAACACTACAGTAGTCTCATGTAAGTGACAGCAGCCACCTGCTGCTCCAGAGTCATACCCAATTTGCACCCCATGGGACATCAGGCATCAACCAACAACCCTGTCACAATAGCCATCCATGCACTCCTGCACACATATATCACCAGCACAGTGGTGGGGAAAGCAGTAGTACAGGCTACTTCTGACTGCTGGCTGCCTGCAGTTTGGCAATTTGATTCTCATTGGCTCAAGGTTGATTCAGCCTTCCCAGGTCAGTAAATGAGGACCCATATTGTTGGAGCAATATGCTGACTTTAAACTGCTTAGAGAGCTGTAAAAGTAAGCTATTTAACCTATAATGTCAGTTCATGCATTATCCAAAACCATGTCTTAGCATTTTGCAAGACTTTGCTATCTATCAAAAGAATCTTAATTTCAGGGTAGCTGGGTTTATATGAATCCAATTTTATTGTGGCCACACAGCTTCTCCTTAGTTGTGCTCTTTAATTATAACAACTACTTCTGAGGGAAGATATACTTGGTATAGGGCTGAATTTGTGCTGTAATCCATAATACCTATTGATTATGTTGGTTCAGATATATTGGTACAAAATTAAGTCACAACCACTTAACAGTAAAACAATCCATGGAAAAAATTTCCATAGTCCTTGCAATTTTTCAAATATTTGGAAAATTTAGCTGAAGCTGTACAATTTCCGTAAAAGAGGAAGCATCTTTTTGTGTGAGCCTACATTGCAACTTCTATATTGTTAAGTTATATCTTTAAAACAAGATGACTGCCAAAGCATGTTTTGATAGATCTGCCACTTCCAGATAAAATTAATTTGATAACCCCAAATGATTGATTGAGGAATTGACCTTTGATAGGTTTTGTATGTGCTGTAATGCTGCGTGATTTGCTTAGACTAGAACATCACTCTTCCTCTCCTCTTTTCTGTCAAGCAAGGCATGCCTGTCTAAGTATCACTTTCATTTAGTGTAAAAAACTTACACTGGGGGAGAATGCGCAGACAAAAAGAGGAAGGAAGAAGAAGAACAAGGAAAGCCAGACAGCCCAAACCTGCTGTTTTTCAGCAGTTACCTTCAGATTCATTTGTAATAATCGGAACAGTCCATCCCAAGCATCCTGAATCACGGCTTATTGCTGGACTCCCTAGGAATGACTCCTTGGCATAAAAGTGAAAAGAAGACTGGAGTGGGTATGTATCATGCAGCTTCTTTTCTGAGCATGTCGTTCTGCAGAGGGTGGGTAACAATGCCAAAATGGCTGAAAAACATTTCTTTAAAAAAAGAAACAGAAGCAAGTAGGTTTTTCTAACTTGGGAATCCCCATATGCACTGAAATAAAATTCTCAGAATTTCTCTTCAGAATGGCCATTGGTGGCTGAGATTTCTGCGACTGTAGTCCAAAAGGTTTCAGAAATAGGAGAGATATTTTGACCTGATTGATTCATGGTAATTAAAAAGAAGTTTGTTTCCAAGCAACTCCTCAGTTTGAGCTGTTCTTTAAGAGTCACAAATTCCTTTTTGTGAAAATTATTCAGTTGTCATTAACTGTGAAATTTAAGCTATCAAAATTAAATGGGAGAGCTCAGTAACTTTGTCTGAAGTTTCAACTTAATTATACAGGAAATAACAGGTTGTTTTTTTTAGAAAGGAGTTCTGTGAATTGGTAGAGATTTCTTAAAAACTGCAATCTATTCTTTGCAGGAGATTTGACTCTACAACTGACAGTTATTTAGAAGATATAGATTACTTTCTACAAAGTCTCCTTATTTGCTGACATTGTTTGTGCATTTTCAGTGGAAATGTGAAATTATATTCTATGCTAAACTACCAATGTGGCAGAGGCATTAAGATGATCTGTATCTGAGAAAGCAGGAAGAGAACACATCTTATGTTGAACTTTTTTTTTTAAAAAAAAGAATGATCTCACCTTACTTTTATTAAATAATTGAAGACAGCAAGCATACCTAATATTCCTTCTTCTTCCTATTTTCCCCCCCACCTACAACCCTGAGGCGTGGATTGGTTGAGATACTGACACATCAAACATATCAAAGTCACCCAGCCGACTCTCATGCCTAAGGTAGAACTAGAACTGACAGTCTTCTGGTTTCTAGTTCGAAGCACTAGACCAAAATGGCTTTATTTTGAAAGCCAACTTAGTATCTGCAAGAGATCTGACTTTCTTTCTACAGAACTGCCATGTTGTAACTCTAGAGCAGAGCTGTCAAACTCCTGTGGGCCTGATGCGTCACGTGCTGGCCATGCCCCTGCCCTGTTTAGCAAAGGGGCAAAAAGTCCAGATACATCATGTGATGCCGCCATGATGATGTGAATCTGACACCCCTGCTCTAGAGAGTTGCTGCAAGTCAGGGAACTGATTTTTGGGATAAACCTCCATGAATCAGAAATGGAGAATCATTTCATTTGGACAAGACATAACCCAGAGTGTTCTAAGGTGGCTTTCTCACAGATAAAGCAATAAAAGTTAGATTTGAAAATTGAAAATTTCAAAACCATTGTTGGGTGAGGTAATATTTTGTGGACATAGCAATGGTATTTTCAAATCCTTTGAAAAGGAAGAAACAAATTGTCCCTCTTGTTCTGTGAAACGTTTCAGTCCCAGTACGGGTTTTCAATCCATACAAGTTCTACCCCAGCAACAGTTTGTTCTCATGGCTGAGATAACATCAAGAACCTCATTCTGGGAATCTGGATATTTATGCCTTATTCCCTAAAAACAGGAAGAGAAGAGTCATCTCAGGAGCCTTGAGAACCATGTGATCATAATAATAGACTGGATCCTTCAAAATATCACAAAGCAAAATATTTGTTAAGCTATAGTAAAGCATTAAAAAGATATTTCATTCTCTATGTTGCAAGGACATAATAGGGTACTTTATACTATGTAGCACTTTGTACTGTGTAACACTACAATAGATTACATTGTATATATTCTCATATTTTCAGTCAAATATTAAATACATTAATATCATTGTTAATCATTTGACTATACTTTTATTCATTGATGTTTTATGAAATAATCCATATTTTACTTAATTAGTTTTATGACAGTTCATATTATCATCTCAAGTCTATCCTACAATCATTTTGTAAATATAATAAGAAAAGAATACATCTTTATATATTTATTATTTTCTAAGAATCTACATATTTCATTACCATGTTTTATTGTCTAACCATTGATAGAATAGATCCCAAATTTTATAAAATTGTTTATCATCTTGTTCTCTGATTTCAAATGTCGATCTACTCATTTCAGCACATTCCAATATTTTCTTAATGATTTCCTCCTGTGATGGTATTGTCTCATTTTTCCAGTTTTTAGCAAATACAAGCCTAGCCGCTGTTAATACATTTACAATCAGGTATTTCAAGTCTTTACTATATATTTCAGGTAAAATTCCCAATAAAAATATCTCTGGTTCCAAGTCTATATGCTTTTTTGTCATTTTTTCCAACCATGTGTGGATTTTAGTCCAATATTTTTTGGCATCCGCACAAGTCCACCATGTATGGTAATATGAGCCAGGTATCTGATGACATTTCCAACATTTTCCAAATTTGTTCTTGAACATTCTTGTTATTCTTGTCGGGGAGGGGGGGAATGCCACCTGTAAAACATCTTATACAAATTTTCTTTATATGCTGTTGACATTGTCATTTTATAATTTTGAGACCACAGTTTTTGCCATTTCTCTAGATCAATCCCTTATCCAAAATTCTTCCCCCAAGCAATCATAGTTTCTTTAACTTGTTTTTCTTCTAGTTTAATTTCTAATAAATATCCATACAATGTTTAGTCACCTTTTCAGCAGTACCTGTCAAAATCTTATCTAAGTCAGTCAGTTTATCATAGAAACCTTCTGTTTTAGAATCTTTGTCATACCTTGAATGTATTTGCGCGTATGAAAACCAATTCATCTTTATACCTTGTTCCTCTAATTTTTGTATAGATTTAAGTTCATCCTTTTCATTCAATATTTCACCATATCTAACTGTTTGTTCCTTTTTATATATTATAGGATAATAAAATGCTTCAATAGTCGATAGCCAGACTGGAATTTTCAAATAACATTGCCTTTTAGTCTTTTCCCAGTTTAACCACAGAGACTCCTGTATATAATGTCTTCTAAGATACCCCTGTGTTTTAGTTCCTTTATACCATAGAAAAGCATGCCACCCCAACAACAGATCATGTCCTTCTAAAGTCAACAATCTAGTATTTCTTAATGTTACATTCCTTAACCCACATCAAATTTGTAGCTTGGTAGTACAACTCCTAATTAGGCAAACCAAATCCTCCTCTTATTCTGGCATCTTGCAAAAGTTTTCACTTTATTCTCGCTTTCTTACCTTGCCATATGTATTTCAGCACAATTTTATTTAAATCTTCAAAATAATCTTTTCCAAGCCTAACTGGAATTTTTTGGAACAAATATAAAATTCTGGGTAGTATATTTATCTTGATTGCTGATATTCTCCCTATTAATGACAGTTGTAAACTTTCCCATTTCACCAAATCTAGCGCTATCTGCTGCTGAAGTTTGATATAATTATTCTCTTTTAGTGTACTACATCTTGCTGTCAAATGTATCCCCAAGTACTTGATCTTATTCGTGACCTGAATTTTCAATACATCCGCTAGTTCTTCCTTTTGTCTTGATAGCATATTCTTTGTCAAGATCTTTGTTTTATCTTTATTTATTTTCAAACCAGCCACATTTCCATATACCACTATCTTTTCTATCGATTTTGATGCTGTTTCTAGTGGGTCTTCTAAAATGAAAAACCAGATCATCTGCAAATGCTTGCAACTTAAATTCTTCCTTTTTTAATTTTCATCCCTTTTATATCCTTTTCTTGTCTAATATTTCTGTTTAGCACTTCCAAGGTTAACACAAACAACAGAGGTGATAGTAGGCACCCTTGTCTTGTTCCTTCTCTTATATCAATAGAGTCTGTCAGTTCTCCCTCCATCATTACCTTTGCCGTTTGCTTATGACATATAGCTTCTATTGCTTGAATAAATTTTTTACCAAAGTCCATTTCGTCCAACTGTAATAACATGAATTGTCAATTCACATTATCAAATGCCTTCTGTGCATCTAAAAATATCAAAGCCATTTGTTTTTCAGGGTGTGCCTCGCAGTATTCCAAAGTGTCCAAGATTACTCTCATATTGTCTTTAATTTGTCTCTTTGGCAGAAATCCATTTTGATCAGGATGGATAAAATTGTTTAAGTATGTTTTAAGTTTTTCTGCCAATATTGATGCAAAAACTTTATAATCTGTGTTTAGTAAGGAAATAGGTCTATAGTTTTTAATTTGTAATGGATCAGCCTCCTCTTTTGGGACAAGTGTAATATAAGCTTCTGACCATGATTTGGGTATCTTCTTCTTTAACATAACTTCATTCATAACTTCTAGCAATGGAAGGTTCAACGATTCTTGTAGTGTTTTATAAAATTCTGCCAGAAGTCCATCTGGGCCTGGTGCCTTTCCATTGTTTTGCTTCTTAAGTGCTTCAGTTAACTCCATCATCGTTATATTGCTTTCTAACATTGTTTCAATCTCTTTAGGTATCTGGGGTGATTAGCATTTTGTAAGTACTGTTTAACTCTTTCCTCATCAATATTCTCTTGTATAGTTTCCCATAATAGTCTCGTGTAATTTCCTTTTTCTCTTTACTACAATAGCAGAGTTGGCCTTGGTCATCTATTAATTGCAATATTTTCCTTGATTTTTTTCTCCTTTCTCAATTTATATGCTAACCATCTACCTGGTTTATTTGCATCTTCAAGGTAGTTCTGTTTTGCACCTCTGATTTCTGGGCTAGTTCTTCTTTTTCTATTAGTCCCATTTTATGTTTAATTATATCCATTTTTAACTTAATATCCTTTTTCTGTGGCATTTTCAAGTCCTTTATACTCATCCTCTAATGCCTTAGAGGCTAGTTTTTTCATGGTATTTCTTTTCCTTGTATAGTTTATTATCAAGCCTCTGGCATATGCCTTCATTGTATCCCATACGTTCTGCATTGATGTATCTTCTTTTTTTGTTTTCTCTAAAGAAGAAAGCCAGTTCTTTCTCCATCCACTGTGTGAAGCCTTTTTCCTTTAATATAGTATTATTTAACGTCCATCTAGATCTTCTTTGTCCTTTCCATTTA